TCCGCCGTCCCTGCTTACTGTACCTCCTACTTTAAACGCGCCCTCGGTAAGAAATCAGCACATTGCAATGACGAAACCTGAGGGAGTAGATGGACAAAAAGAGGAAAGATCTACAAAGTAAAAGGTATTGCATGTTGTAGATAAAATGAACTATGGGGATTATTTCACTTGCAGCGTGTTACAATACAGATACTCATGGTCTTATTGTCTTTCCTTTACTGGCTACCGTAAACTTCCGATAGCAACGACCCCCCGAAAGTAGCGAGCCCAGCCCCACGCCAACACCACCTACCCACCAAAAACAACGAGACCAAGGTTTAATGCAACGGTATATTTATTTCTCCAATCAATAGTCAAGTGAACGGGAAAATGAACTTTTCTTCGCATTAAAATTTAAAACTCTTCATGTCATTTTCAAAAAATTGAAAAAACGGCTGATTCCACATGCGGTAGCAGGAGTGCGCCTGAGGGTTTGTGGGTGCAAGGAGCTTAAGGTGGAGGAATAGAGATTCCTTGTTTCTATGGTGTCATTGTGAAAAAAGGAGGGTGATTAAAGGGATCAGAAAAAAAAAAAAAAAAAANGTAGACATGTAGAGGCCAACTCACGTTAGTAACATGAAACTGGAACAATGACGAATTTTACCTCGTTTTTTTTATGAATTGCCTTCTTTCATTTCGTTAAAAAAACCTCAGTTGTACCAACTTTATATAACGTTTTTTGCTCCCCGAAAGTAGCGCCCCCTAGAGTAACGAGCCCCAAAGGCTGCTAGTTCCGAAAGTAACGAAGGTCGTTACTCTCGGAAGTTTACGGTATTACTCGAATCTTAACCCCATCGAGTTCACCTTATCTCGGCAGATGATCGGGAATGTATTTTTGTACGCCTGACATCTCACGATCACTTCCAAAAAAACATTCTGTGGGAATGCACTTATCTTTAGATTTGCTTTCCGTAGTCAGGCCATTGAAAGTATTCTAATTTTGAGAGTTGTGTTTTAGCTCATTGAAACATCAAATGTTAAACTTCGTCCCATTTGCGATCTTTCATAGACAGATTCCTGTTTTCACCAAGAGCTGGAAAAAAAAAAAAAAAAAAAAAAGACAGAAAATCCTGCTGCATTGTTAAAGTAGTTTGCATATTAAGGAGACATTCTCTCTATCAAACGAAAACGAAAAGAACACACGCACAAAGTTAGTCGACTGACAAACGAAGGAAACGTTCACCAGCAGAGAACGTCGGGTGGTGTAGAATGTCAAAAAACTTCAACAAAGGAGAGGGGACTTCGTAAAAGGGAAAGAACTAAATAATTACTCAACAGTTTAAACCAAACTCTAAGATACGAGAACCTTCCTAAACAGCTTTTTTCAACCTCAAAAAGGATGGGGTTTTTTTGTCAACATAACAGGCCATCTCCGAGTTACCTCTTGCCTCTGTGTCAAAACGAGTCTACGTGGTTCATTTTCGATCAGATCAAAGTTATTTTCACAGGAAAGTGCTTAGACTCGTTTTGAAACAAAGGCACAAGGAAACTCGGAAATTAATGGTCTATGGTAACGATCGATCTCATTCATGAAATTTTTCTGATGAACCTTGAAATTTGTTATCCCGAGATGTTAGTTATTATTCACCTAACCATCACATGTTTGCCAAACAAAAAACCATGGGTCCGCCATATTGTTTTGTTGTTTACTATCTAGTCCGGGAGAAGACCAGAGACGCTGATCCCTTTAAACTCGGAGCAACACAAGGAAAGGCAACATTTTTGTTTAAAAGCAATTTTAGTAAAGAATATTTGAGTAATCATTAGGACTTAGCATTTAGCCTGTCATAATGTCATTTACTTTCTCTATATTTTTTCACCTGTCGTTGTTCACGCATTTGGCTTACTGCGTAATATAACGTTATTGCATTTTATGCTCCAACGACAAGAAAGTTTCAAATTGAGTCTTTTTAGGGAGTTTTTTTCTTTTATCGCACGCATTTTTGAAACCCAGAATTAAAAAAAAAAA